CCTAAACCTGATTGTCAGCAGAAATTACAAAACTAATAAATGAGTCCAACACACCATATTGCGATAATACTAATCCTATACAATAAACAAGTATTATTATTATAATGATAATTTTTCTAAACCTAACCCTTAATACTAAACTTACACTACTATGATAAATTGAACATAAGAGGAGAACAGTAGTAACAATGATAGATAGGACAGAACAAAGGTACCCAAGTCCTGTGAATGTCTTTCAGTCCTCATTGTCATGATGGGCCATACGGAACTTCTCGCACATAATTCACACTTCTATCTTCTTCTCCTTGGTTCCTGAAGGTTTTTACTTGCATCCAAATTGTTGGTCACTCATTCAAACCTTGCAACTGGTCAAGTTGAATGTTGACTCTAACACTCTAACTTTAGCCCAGAAATTTCAAGGTTCCCATTCAAAGGTATGACTTCACCCAACTACTCAGGTACTAAACAATTTCATGTCTCTGCCTTCTCATCGTCCTCTGTTTTCAAGCACAATCTCAATAGTCTCTTCTTTCCCATATATGCTCTCAGGTAACCTTGTACTCATTGTATTAGTTATTCCAGGAAGCAGGCCTCATCTCCAAGAAGGAAGAATTAAGGAGATTAGAAAGTTCTAGAAGAGAGAAAGAACAAAGAGCTGGGGAAAAATATATGAAGAACAAAAAGATCAAAAACAGACAATATAATTTATGGCCACAGTAACATTATGTAAAATGTCCAATGATTTATTCTTGTAAGAAAATGGTTACTTCTAATTATCAGCTTTTCAAAAGAGTTGATTATTCTGACTAATGAAATTTGTTTTGTTTCAGTACAGTAATACCTAATTGGTAAATAGCTTAGAAAAACTCCAAGCTTGCCATCACTAAATTATAAAACAACTTCCAATATTTTTATTATTATTTTTTGTTATTACTGTAAATTAACAATAGAAATGATTGTTTTCTTTAACTTAATGTTCGAATTTTTCAATTGGCTGACTATTCACTATCTGAATTGCTCATGCATAGGTTCATTGTTCTGTTGTTCCTCCTTATTTTCTTGGTTTGCCATCTCTAGCCTCCAGACTGACTCAGGAACTCCAAGAACAAGCAGCCCATTTCATCTTTCTGGTGGCTCACAGGACTGTCAGCACTTTTCAGGATAGCAATCAGTGCATTCTCTGAATTGTTGAGAGTCTTAGAGATCATAAATCTTGAAGGAATGCATGATGAGATATTCAGGAATTAAACCCCATACCTTCTTCATATAGTGAATAACTTTCTTGAGTTCAGATGCTGGTTCCTAGCAAGTGTAAGACTTCTTGCTGTGCAATATTCACTCCTGTTACTGTTCAGAATAACTATCCTTGTAAGGTTGATTCCAGTAAACATCTCAGGCTTGGATGAGGCTGGTGCATTCCTGGAAGGATGACCATGTCAGTCTTTATCTTTGCTAGTTCAGCCATCACTAAAAACTAGTCAATCCCAGACTTTATGAAGCCACTTGACAGTTCTTTGTTCATCCAACCATTTTTGTAAGCACAATTTCAAATCCCTTGATCAACAACTCTATTTTCAAGAGCACCTTTGAAGAAAATAAAAAGTGGCAATTTTCTTCTATTCTTTCTTCTATTTCTTCAACTTTCAACTTTCAACAGTGACTGGAATTTTTCCTACTGTTTGAATCAACAAAATAAAAGCTGAAATGCTCTTAGTTAGCAGGCTTGTTAGTTGAACAAGCAGTCTTTCCATCATTCTCTTGTGTTGAGTTCATATTTCTCTTTTATAAGCAAAGATTAGACAAATAGAATGAATTTTTCCAACTTGTCATAAACTTGTAAGGAAAATTTTGGCTCACCAATGTAGGGAGATGCCCTTTCTTGCAAGGAAATTTTGCAATCAACTGTGACTGGCTTCAAAGTTCTTCACAGTTGAATCACAAATAGTTCCACTATTGAATATTTCCCTGGTCTTCATTTTTCTTGAAATAGAAAACTGTGTATTTCTTATTTTGTCTACTTAGTCCTTTATTTTCTCCTCTATTTCTTCACTTGCATGTTTTCATCCACTTCCTTTGAGTCATCTTCTCTTGGATTCACTGGATTCAATGCTAACTAGAAGCTTCTATTCATCATTATACCATTCTCAAATTCTTTTGGGATCAATTCTGAATTTTCTGGCATATTTTTTTTTTCTATTATATTTTGCAAAGTTTATGACTTCCACTTTAAAACTGATTTTGTAGCCAAGAATCTTTTTGCCTTTGCAACTAGAACTAAGGGTATCTGACATTCTTACTGAATGCTAAAACCATAGAAAATATTACTGGCAAATAAGCTTTTTTCATATGACAATGTATCCTTGGTACAACAATAATACCATGTGCAAGAAATGGGTTGTTGTATGTTTCTTGTGCATGGTATTATTCTTGCAGTGAATTTCCCTAAAATGGAAACTTTTTCTAGTAATGGTTCTCATTAATGTTGTACTTTATCATGATCTGAAATGAAATGCATTGAAGATTCAAGGCAGATGGTTGGTTGAGGTCCAGAATAAATTCAAGGAAATATAGTGATACCTTGGTACTTGAACTTAATTTGTTCCAGAAGTCTGTTTGAATATCAATATATTCGAGTATCAAATGAATTTTTCCCATAAGGAATAATATAAATTACATTAATCCATTCCAGATCCTCAAGGGTACACTTATAGAATCATTTTAACTAGCATTTAACAATAATTTAACAAGAAGTTTACAAGTTTAGCATGCATGAATCCTAAATAAAAAACCAAAAAATATCCATTAGCAATACCAAGTAGCAAAAATGTGCCTATTAATTTTATTGAGTTGAACAGAAAGTTTTGGTATTTTTAACAGTTGTTAAACTTAGCATAGATATGTAATTTAATTATAACCATTGTAAAATTTAACACATTATTACTAATGTGAGATTGTATTATTTGTATAGAAGCTTATTTTAAAACTTTTTACTTCACATTTTGTTTGCGTAAAGTCAAGTCAGAATGTCTGCAGATAAAATGCATGTCAGGCATATTATATTTTTCAAGTTTCATAAGGATATAATGCTATACAAACAGTAAAAGATACTTGTAATGTATATGGGAAAGATGCTTCTAAATTTAGAAGATGTCAAATGTGGTTTTAAAAGTTCTGTTCAGGAAATTTTGAACTAAAGGATAAACAATGGGAAGGCACCCAAAAGCTGTCGACAAAGAAAAACTGCAAGAAGAAATTGTTAAAAATTGATGAATAACAATCTGTGAACTTGCAACAAATCTTAATGTGTCACCAACATGTATTGTCAAAACACTTCATCAACTTAGAATGGTTGCAAAACATGATGTTTGTTTGAAGGCATTAAGTGAAAGAACAGACTGGATAAAGTATAATTTTGTCTAATAAAGGTAGGCAGCTCTAAGGTTTCATTTTATTTTTACATTAGCTATTCATTTTTACCATAGAAATGTTTTACAGATGACAAAATTAAAATTAAAATATTTGTTATTAACCAAAAATTTGTTCTGGTAGGTCATGATTGTTCAATTGAGTACCAAGCAATTTTTCCCCCAAAAATGTGTTTGAATACTGAATTGTTTGAGTTTAGAGTGATTCAAGTACTGGGAGACTACTATACAGTCTTTTAACAAAAATTAATAAAATCAGCCATAACTATAGTAATATTAAATCATCATTTAACTAATTATTTAAAAATCATAAAAATGTCTATTTCCTAGAGAATAAAAATATATAAATTACTATCACAAATAAAGTAATCACAAATTTCTCTGACAAGTCATATAGATTTTTACATAATGTATGACCAGTACTTATATGTTACAAATACACAAATAGTAAATATCTGAAAAAACTGCTATATCAACACATCTCAAAAAGTCTGTAAGAAGTGAAAAGACGTATTGTCATTGTGTCTGTGTTACGTTAATTATGCAATTTTTTTTATTTTAGCAAATAAATTATTACTATTATTATTATTATGATACTTAAAAACTGTGTTTCACATTAATTATATTTTTATAAAGTACAAAATCTCAAATTCTTCTAAGAACTCCTAATAATGGCTTTATTAGGCCAAAAATGTCTGAGTTTAAAATTATATTGCTGTTTAAGATTCTGGAGTTATAAGGATTTGTTTATAAAGTTTTAATCATTTTGCTGTAATTATATACAATATTTAAAAATTCACTTATAATTTAAAGATAACATAATTAATGTAATATTTTAAAATTAACTTTAACAATATTATGTAAAATGCTGTTATTGTTAGATATCGACAATGTATTTTGTTTAGGCTGTTCCATTTTCCTAGTGATTGATTTTGTTTAATCAGTGTTATGAATAAGCATAAATATTATCATATAATTTTATAATGATAATTACGACATTAAGTGATAAAAACAAAATTATAATGAAAAAATTATTATTATTATGTTGGGTTTTGTGAGTTATACTCGGTTCACACCGGTGGCTGTGTACTATGCCGGACCAGAGTCAAGGCATAGCAACCAAAACAAAACTAAAATTAAATAAGTGTGTCTGTGTGTGTATCTGTATTCAGAAATTTCCTAACAGTATGACATGTATAACATAGTAGCCTTCTGTAATGTGATGTATGTGTTTCTACTCAACTGTAATGTTTCCAGGTTTTTGTGTAGTGTGTGTGTGGTATAATACCTGTAGAGAAGAACACATCAGGTACAATAAGAACCTTATCTATCCTCCACAGATGCCTTATTTCCTGGGTGAGTTCTGTGTACTTGCTGATTCTTTTCAGTGCATGTGTTTTGTACATTGTGAGTGTTTGGAATGAATATGTCTATAATGTATGTGATTTTATTGTGTTTGTCATTGTTGTTCTTGTTTTTGTTGTTATTATTATTATTATTAAACATTTTCTTATTTCAATCACAAATAATGCCATTGTAAAAAGCAAAAATTCAATTAATAAATTTAAATTTCAAAATAATTTTCTTCTGATAAAAGTAACAACTAACTTTACTGTAATGAACAATGGCTTCTCTAAACTTATCAGTTATTTTCTCAGGTGAAAATATTCCTCTTCCTACTGCAATAGTTGAAGCTTGAGTATTTCTAGGTAAACTTCCACTCTTTGCTCGCTGAGCTATTAAAATATTTGATTAATTTAATATTTAATATACTTATAAAATTTTATTGATTAAAATTTTAAATAAATCTTAATCTCAAAAATTATATTTTATTCAATAGTTATAAACATCTCAACAATATCAACCTGTAAGTAGTGGTATTTTTTCAAGAATTTTTCTTTAACAGAAATGCATACAAATTAACATCCAAATAATGGCAGTCTTTTTATATTCCTATCAGTGGCTGTACTTTAGAGATTTGACTGTATATAAAAATTAACTAGGACATTGCATGACTGTCATATCATGATAGAAATGAGGCAAAGCTGGAAAGAAAGAAGCAATCCCTGCACTTTTTAGGCACAAAAGAGGCAATCCTTGTACCTGTCAGCCATGGGAGATACAATCTTTGCACTGGCCAGGGGACAGAACAGAGATGATCCTTATACTTGCCAACATGGAGAGGCAATGAACAAAGCAATCATCACTGATTGCTTTGTTCTTGTGTTTTGTTCAATTTTGCACCTATTTTCTATTAGATGCACACAACGCTGTTTTTATTTTTGATTCCTAGGTTTAAATTCCATTAGGCACACTCAGTCACATAAGAGAATATGGATGTTGTCACTTTAATACTTCTGTATATTGAAAATGAAGTCATGCATTCCTATTTTTTACATTTAAATGAACCCTCATTACATTTTTGAATTTCTCACTGCAATTAATGAAAAAGGCAAAGTTTTATCAAAATTGGTCCATTAAATTTTGAGAAACTCAATTCTAAAGCAAAGCCCATAGATGTGCTAGTGACTGTGAAACACCGCATGACTTTGTTGCGCAATATCACTTAGTCATGCTTGCTCATGAAATAACCTTATATCTTAAAAACAAAGTCTTAGACCTAGATTTTTTATTACATTTTTTGATTTCTCACCTAAATTAATAGAAAATGGCAAAATTTAATCAAAATCGATCAAACAGATTTTGAGAATGAACACAATTCTGTAAACCACATAGAAGAGGCTTCACTAATGCTCTGCCTTAACAATTGTCTGTCAAAATTGAAGAAATATAAATCAAAGTTTGGCTTCACTGTCAGAAGTTGGTTGAAATCCCCCTGCTAAGAGACTAGGGTAGAAAAACTGGTTTTTATCCCTAGTGGACGGTGTCAAATTACCCAGTCTTTGTTTGTGGAAAAAACGTTTCAATGATGTGACTGTTAACATTTTCTCTATCACTTGACATTTCATCACCTTAGTGTTGTGTGAAATCAACATTTGATGTTATATTGTCAACATCAAATTTCTTTTAATTTTAATAAAAAATTCTTATCTTAGATTGCAGCTCTTTACAGTATATGCATAGTTACACTCAGTTTCACATATTTTTAATTAGATGTCAGTGTCAATTAATATATATATACAATAATAATAAAAAAAAAAACACATGATTTTTTTTGTTATTTTTTATTATTATTGTATTTTTTGTTATACTTCTATTTACTGCTAAATCAGCAAGTCCCAGATATATATTTGTGATTTACATTATATTTTATAATTCTATTTATTTATAATTTTTTCAAACAAAGGAAACACTTGTGATCTTTTGTTTTATTCTTAGTATTGTATGGCTTTTTTTTTTAGTTCTGTTTTGCTGTTTCATTATACTTTTGTTTACTATTATATTGGTGAATCCTACATAAATATTTATTATTTATATAATTTATGACATTTTTTATAAATAAATAAAAGGATACAATAAATTATAACTGAATATAATTACACAAAAAATTATGCAAATAATCAAGTTATATATTTAGGAGTTATGAAAAAAAACATAAGGATTATAAAACAATAAAACAAACCTGAAAAAAAACAAAAGAATGCAGGTGTTTCTTTTGTTTGGAAAAATTATAAATAAAGAAAATTATAAAGTTCTGTATAAAACTTGAATTTTTTGGGAAATTATAATTTTTTATTATTTATATTTTTCAAACACATGCTTTTTTTCATAATATACATCAAACTTACTTTTTATACTAAAATGTCAAACTCATTTAACAGTATTACCATAACTATTAAAGTGTCAGTTAATTTTAGACTTGTGAAATTACACACGCAGATGTGAAAAATGTAAACATTAACTTTTTGATATAAATAAGAATTGCTTTTCATTAATTAAGTTAATGTGTATAAATCTAATACCAAAATATAAAGGACAAACTTCTGCTTCAAGCTAGCACAATGACAAAGTTGAATAAACAAAATTATTTTATCTATTGTAAAAATGTAGTATAAGATTACAAACAAACGTAGGTGACAATAAACTAATTTTTTTTTGTAACTCATTTTTGATGTTAATAAATAAAAACTAAATAACCTTAAACTATGCAAACATATGTGTATGTAGGATTTTTCCAAAACGGTATGATAAAAATTGAATTTTTAACAAATTTTAAAATAATATATGTCTAATGAGCTTGAGTGATTGATATTTGCCTTGAGCAGTTTCAAGCTAAAAACATAGTAAAACCAGCTGAAAGGAGAAGGGTTAATTAACAATTAAAAAAATGAAAAGTTTTTAAATGCGACTTTTGCTTGTTATTCTAGTGTAAATATATCTGATAAATAAATTTTAAAAAGTATATAAATAGTCAAAGAAAATAAATTTCTTGTTAAAATATGCAATTAGTTACAATAGTACAATTAGAAAAAAAAAATCATTCAAAAAATATTTTTTGAATAGCAATAAAATTATGCTATTATAAAAATTAAGTGTTTTGATAACTTATGAAAAAAGTTGAGAGATGTTAAGTGTGTATTTATGGTATCTTGATTTAATGAAAAAAATTATTGATAATGTAATTTTAATTTAAATAAATAAATTAATATGAACTTAATATACAAACCTGTAGCTCCCTTAGAAACTGATAATGTAGAATATTTAGAAGGAAAAGAAGAATTTTTCTGTCCAACAAGACCATAATGTTGATCAGGATATAAACAGATCATTGATGAAGCACATTGTCCTTCATAAGTACCTGCCAACCACAACCAATCACCTGCACTCTTAAGTAATTCAATTGCAAATGTATACATAGAAAATGCTTCATGTGGAAGACCAGCCTGAAGATTTAAGTCAGCAATATGTTTTTTCATTCTACCTAACCAAAGTTTTCTATAAATAAAAATACAATTATATTTTAAATAAACAATTCATTTTTAAAATTATAAAGTTATAAATTCTATATTTATTTTTACATTACCAATTAAATATATACATTTCATATATTTTTACAAAAGTTTAAATTTGTCAAATTTGTCATCATCTTGTCTTATTTATGTTGAATCAAATTTTGTTGTTCTAGCCTTTCAATATGCTATTATTAGCTATTTCTCTATTCCTAACTCTAACATATCTTTCTTAATAATTAGTTACCAAAATTTATTTGATTTATCTCTACTTTTCTTAAACTTTGCATCTAAGTTTCCTAATTTTTCTTACTAACTCCATCCTATTTCTCTTTACTATTAATTAAGCCACATAGACCTATTTTTCTACAATTTATCACTTATATCAGTTATACTTAAATTACCTGTAATTATACTATTCTTGATTCTATTTTTTAATATTACTACTCATTCATGTAAGCATTCTCACCTCATATGCCTATATAGTATTAATCATTTATTCATTCCTGACATTCCAATCTATTTGCTATAGTCATCCTATAAAACTATTCACCCTTTAAAACTTCTCTTTTAATAGAATTTGAACTCTCACCATGCACAAATCTGCTAACCTGCCTTCAATTTTTACTATTCTATATTTATTCCAATTTGCCACATTTATATTTAATTCTGCAATCTATTATTAAATATTTAAATCTATTAATTTTTTCAATTCCCTTATCCTAAAATCTAATATCTTCTTCTCACTCTTCTAACAATCTATTCCATCTAAAATTCCTTTAAATAAATATTTTATCCCTATTAATTTTTCAATTTATACTTTATAACCTATTAACATTTTTTAAATTTCTCTCCAAATTTTTCTCTTTCCTTAATAATCAAAACTGCATATCTACAAATAAGTTGCATCATGTTTCTTCTCTAACTTTTCCTGCAACAAATTATTTACTAATATGCAAGCTTAAAACTAATCTCTGATGAATTATACTACTAGTCTCAATTTTTTGATTTACACACACACACACACAGACACACATATATATATATATCAAAACTTTTGTCAAATTTACATTAAATTATTTACTGGATTGTCACAGTCTTGATTAGTTATAGTTATAGTTAATAGTTAATGTGAAGAAGTATATTAATAACAACTTTAAAAATATTAAAAATAAACACAAAACTATTTTTATGTATTTATTTTCAATTGAAGTATATTATTTTGATTTGATATATATATATCAAATCAAAAAATCAAAATAATATAATTCAATTGAAAATAAATACATAAAAATAGTTTTGTGTTTATTTTTAATATTTTTAAAGTTGTTATTAATATACTTCTTCACATTAACTATTAACTATAACTATAACTAATCAAGACTGTGACAATCCAGTAAATAATTTAATGTAAATTTGACAAAAGTTTTTGATCTTGTGATTGGTGTATTTAGTTATCAAAATGATGTATCTTGATTACATAAAAACATAAAATAAACAATTTTCAATTTTCCAATTATATCAAATTATGCTAAATATATATATATATAAATTATGATAAAACCGTACAACATTATGATATCAATATAAAATTAAAATATGTGGTAACAACAATTTAAAAATAAACAATAAAATAAAATTTAAAAATTTTTTAACTTTCAATGTGCAGAAAGTATCATATTTTATATTTTAATTTCAATTCTAACAAATGAATTGAAATTAAAATATAAAATATGATACTTCCTGAAATTTTTAATGAAGTATCAAATTTCATGCTAACAAATGCATGAAATTTGATACTTCATTAAAAATTTGAAGGTTACCAATTATTTATTTATTTAATTTTTAATCATTTCATCAACTAAATTTTGTATTATATATCTTTATTGGGTAATAATGTTTATGTTAAAGCATATTTATAATATTTGTTTTGCATAACATTAATAACTTATTTATTGCTGATATCAAGCATTTAATAATTTATACCTATTCAACATGCATGCCTCTTATCTAACATTCAAGAATACTTTCTCATATTAGGCATGAGTCACACCTCTTATATGACTCATGTATAATGTGATTGCTTTAATTCCATTGTGGATTCCAGTCTTCTTTCATAAATTTATTTATAATCAATGCATTATCTAAATTACCTAATAACTAAAGTTATCAATAGATGAAAATATATCCTATCTATTATAGTCAAATTATCAGAATTATTTAATAAGTAGTTAGCTAAATTATAAAATTTTGGTGAATCATTGCATGTTTATTATCAAATAACTAATTGCTAAATATCTATTATTTATATTTTACTAAATTCAGTTCAAATATTACTTTATTTAATTCTGCAATCTATTATTAAATATTTAAATNTCTGTTATTACTCATAATTAAAACCAGGATTGATATTATATAGTTACAATAACTATGGTTCTGTTACAATAAACTATTTAACTAATAGAATTATTCCTGAATTTTACAATAGGAAAAGATTATATTAGCATCATTTTATATATGATCTAATATATTTTATTCATTTTATGAATATACCTTATTAAATTATTATAAATTAAATATAAATTCATATTTTATATCAACAAAAACAATACACTATATATCACATGATTATTTATATTGAAATCAATATTTCTGTTAAAGGTAAAGATTTCTTTTGAAATTGGAATGTTTTATTGTTATCAAATAAAATATGAATAATAATAATAATGTTAATAATTTTAAAAAAAAACAGAAAAATTACTCTTTAAACCAAAATAAATTCACAAATTTCTCATCATTTCATCTACATATTATTTGCATACAATACAAAAATGAGATGAACACACATTTTGTTCTCAATATTAATAAGCAATAATCCTTTTCCTATTTATTACTTCTTGAAACTTTGAGAGCAATTTTAAGATTTGACAATTGTGTATTGTAAATATTTATTTTCTTTGTCTCAATTACAGAAACATCTTTACTTGTTTAAATATAAATATGCAAGTTTTCTCAATAATTGAGGTATAAAATTTCAAAAATAGCCAACTTTACTTTTTCTGGGTCTGAAACATAAGGGATGTGAATATGACTGATTCTGAAACTAACCTCCAACTTTTATTCCCACTTTTATCCCCTCTTTATAACAATCATCATAAAAAAGAGTAGAAACATACCTGAGATCAAGTACTTAGCCAATTTTTTTAAAAGATGGACTTAAAAATGGCTATTCCTCAATTTTTTTTTAATTATAACAACAGAAATCTGCAAACAAATTCACTTTCTTCTATAAATTAACAATTTTATCTATAAAAACAAACAATGTATTTTGTTGCATTGTTTGTTTTTGTAAAAAAAAAAAATTGTTTGATATATAGTTGAACCCTGTTTATACATTTCTCAGTCATACACTTTTTACAATTACATGTTAAATATTTTCTGTATACTTTCTCCATTATAAAACATTTTAGTTATATATTTTTCATTTATATGATTCTGCATTTAAACATCATATTTTTTGGTATCCTATAGCACTTTTCCTCACTTTTGTATTATTCACTTTGAAATAGAAAAATTTAAAGCAATTATTAAAAAAGTGAAAATCAATTTGTATGTATTCAGTTCAGATTATTCCAAACAGAGTGAATACCAGCAAATGTTGCAGGTAAGAGCAAATACCCAGCAAAAATGCAGAGTGAATAATATGTAACATGCGACACTATTTCAGAGAAATTTCCCAATTCAGCAAATCATCAGTCCAACAGGTTGAAAATTTTCACTTTCTATGTTTGTAGTGTAAAGTAATTTTGCTAAGTAAATGAAAATCATCTTCCAGTCTTTCATTCGTTTTCATTATTCATTATCAGCATGAGATAACTTCATTCTTTCATGTGACTGGAGTTTCAACAGAAAAAGACAACTGATGTTACATATCATACTACTACGTAACAAGTCAATCAAAAAAAAAAAAAAACACTTGATCGACTTTTTTAAATGTACATGACTTAACTTCACATTGTTTTACTTTTCCTTTTATAATATTGTTCAAATGTATTATAGGGGAGAGTTGAATAAAACAGTGTACATAGTTGAAAATAGGCATAAAGTCACTATATTTATTTTCCTGTACAATTCTTCCTTTGTTTTCAATTTGGACTATCATCAGTTCTATATTATAGGTGAAACATTTCCACTTTAACAAATAGGTATGATAAAATGGGATAGGAAAACTGATAAAACAGGGCACCCAGAAAAACTTACTAAAAAACTTCCATTTTTAATGCAACTTAAAAGAAACTGTTTTATGTAAAGTCAAAACACTTTTGCTTTATAGTAGGGAATCATTTTTACTATGAAATTAATAAGTTCTAGGGATTTATTAATTTCATCACAAGTATAGATGTTTCATCTTCTTGTTCCAGATTGGATCAACTTATCAACTCTGGATGACCTGACCTGCTTCTGGGTCAAACTTTCTTAATTTGTAACTCCACTGTCATCAGTGGAACATTATATTCCTAGAAAGCCTTCAGATAACTCATGTTTCTTATTTTCACCAGTGAATAGCTCTCTCCCGCCAACAGGCATTATAGCTGCGTTGGCCCTCCAAATAGTAAGTTATTGACACTGTCTTAAGGTTTTTGTAAGATGTTACGTCTGAGGGACCCACCTCTCTCTTTCATACTCACTTCTGATCAAGACTGTCTTTGACATACCTCTGATTTTAAAAAACAATATAAACTAGCAACAGATGCATTATGTATGACAAAATACTAATGAGATATCATACTCACTTCTGATCAAGACTGTCTTTGACATACCTCTGATTTTAAAAAACAATATAAACTAGCAACAGATGCATTATGTATGACAAAATACTAATGAGATATCAACATCGTGGGATATCTCATTTTATTAAATTAACCGCTAATTTATAAAAATTTATAACACTAGATATATACACTGTCAGACAACATTAAAATTTTTTTTATAGTGCAAGTATTTTCAACAATACACAATCATCATTATCAGGCTAACAAATATAGAATGAAATGTTACTATGTGCAGGGAGCCTATAACATTCTCAAATTCATTAAAATACTAAAAAATTACAGTCTGTCGGTGTTAAAACACTTTTTATTAACACAAGTATTTTTGACATTTTTATCAATGTCATCTTCAGGTATAAAATATAGTTTTAGAACAATTCAATTTTAAAAAAAGGAAAATTACATATTTAAAATGAAAAATGTGTTTTGGAATATAATGTTAAATAAATTAAAACTAACATAAATAAATAAATGCACATAGAGACAAATTAGTATGGAAAAATAATAAAATTAAAAAGTAAATAAATAAATAAACATGCACATAGAGATAAATTTGCAGGAAAATGATAAAACAAAATTATAAATAATAAAAATAAATAATATAAATAAATTATAATAAATAAAAGTCATGCAATATGAGAATGACATTGTTTTAATGTTTGAATGTTTACATTCAAAAGGGAGGGTTATAAAATTTGATAGTTGTTGAAGAGATATTTGATCCTTTTTTTCTGACAATGTTATTTTAATGGTTAGGTGACGATTTTATATAAAATATGTCGAAAGTTTATGAGAGTAGGGAAAAAATTGGTTTACACACAGCTCGGATCTCACAAATATATACTTAAACCATGTGTTATAATCATATCAATATGACAAATATTCACTTCTTTAAACAATAAACACATTTAAAAATAATTTTTGTCACATGCATTAGTTAATTAGAGAAAAATCAATCAGTTAATTAGAAGAAATTATTATTTAACAGAATTTTGTATTTTATATTTATATAAATTAAATTTACATTACCTATTATCAAGAGGTGTTTTATGATTACCATCTTTTTCTATGGGAGTAATAAGATGTGGTACATTAAATGAATGACTTTCTAAATAATCCAATCGTTTAGATTCTAATGTCCAAAATAAAGATGAGATAAAAGAATATATATCACTTTCTAAATGGCTGCAGTTATCAAAATTTTCATACAAAATAAAATTTGGTTTAATGCAACTTTCAGATTCTTGAGTTTCGGCTTCTATGACATCTTTGTCATCATCAATGATTGAGAAAGTCATTTCATCTTTTTCATCCTGTTTCATCCATTCATCCCTTCTTAAATTTTCTTTAGTTCTTTTAAATTTTATAGAACTTTCTGAGAAAGGAGACAATCTACTAGATGTTTCAAATTCAGTCTCATGAAATGATCTGCTAAGAGAATTTGGATTACTGTCAGACATAAAAATACCATTCATGAATGTTCCAAATTGTGATGTTTTCATTATTGGTTTTTCTAAATTAATATCACAGCTAGCTGTTACATTACTTTTTACAGTTGATGCAATATTTTTAGACTGAAGGAAACATTTACTTTTTGCAGAGGAAGTTGTACAAATATCAGTAGAACGCATTCCAAAAAGAAGGCATTGAGAATCAAATAAAGTACTAGAATATTTTTCACATAAACTATTATGACATTTCCATAGTGTCTCTAAATCTTCTTTATAATTGCATTTACCTAAGGAAAAAATTCATAAAATAAAAATATTATAATGAAAGAATAAAAAATGATTAATGAGATACAAAATGCTTAAAAAAATTATTCAAATTAATTAGTAAATTTAATTTTCAGCAATTACTTAATATTTTATAAAATAAAAAATGCAATATTTGTAACATTATAACAATTTAAGTTTAAAAAACATACATTATTTAATATTATTCTTTTCAGAAATCTGACTTTTATATATTTCATTACTATTACAAGATATGATAATTAAAAGAAGATATCAGAATTTTAAATACATGAAAATTTGTTTATAACACTAAATGATTGAAATGAAACAATATAAAAAAATAAAAACTGTAAAATCTATTAATAATTAAAAAGATTTTTTCCAAGATTCTGATGTTTCATCATTCTTATAATCCAAAATTTACTGTTGATAAAATATTTTTTCTATTTCTACTCATACTGATATATTGATTTTTAGACTATCGTAAACAGTTTTATCAAATATGCTAAAGTTGTATCTTTAACAAACAAATTGTCCAAGGTGTAATAGATAAGACATTTAACAAAATAATATAAAGATATAAGATGTCCCAAGGTGATCATATCAGATAGCAAAAACCTGAGATGATGTAATGTAATAACATAATTTTTTAAAACACAATCAGATATAAAAATAAATATTTACAAAAATTACATATTTACATTCAAATTACAATTAAATTACAAATTACATAAAATTACATTCAATAATATATATCAGTAATATTTTGTAAAAACGAAAGTGTTTATTACAAAAATTTTGTGTTATTACTTTGTTATATATACAGAGGTCATTCTGAAAAATTTTAAATATTGCCAACCATATCACTAGTTTTAAATTTTTTTTGTCACTTCAACTTATTTATTGCCATCAGTTTTATTTACTAATTAACGTAGGCACTAGTAGTCTTATCAGTTTGGTGTCTGGAAGGCAAAAGTAACATGTTAAGCTGTCACTTACAAGGAGAGGGCCAGACATTCCGTTCTCCAATTCAAACGTCTGGCCCTCTCTGTTAGCAATAGGAATTATTCTTGAATAATTTTTTAATGAATAATTCAGAATAACATTTGATTACCATACTTAAACAGTATTTCACATGTTCTGTCATGTCAAAATTTTTGTTTTAGTTTATTGGAAAAAAATCAAAGCAAAAAATAGTCACCCCAAAAAATTCCCCAAATTTTCTGTCAGTCAATAAAAAAATCCCCAATCTAGATACATCGGGTGGCATTGCACGAAAACTGCCTTCAGTTATCAATGTCATTTCCTACTTTTCTACACAAATTTTCCACGATGTCGTGAAATTGTTAGGTTTGTGGTGTATAGGAACTACCATTCTACTATTTTCCTAAGTGTGTTTTGTAATTCATTTCACACTAAATGTCAAAATAAGACTGCAGACTAGGGTTTTTATCACCACTTGCTATCACTAGTATTATATTTTTATTGCAACTTTAATAAAACTATCACAAAGTGGTGATTTTGGCACTTTGCAGCATGATCCCTATATATATATATATATACTGAAAATCCAGAAATGCAGTATATATACATAAACTATTAATTTAATAATCAATTCAAGAACATTGTTTGTAACTAATTAAACTTCTGAGATTATTAAATCTAATGAAACATATTGAACAAACATATTAATAATAGCACTTTTTAGAAAGAATAATTATGTTTCTATTGTCTTTTATTACTGATTTTGAGTGTGTATGTTTTTATAAAAACAAAATTTCATAATTATGAATGATGTTTAGTGTTTCTATTATAATTAATATTTAAAAAAAATTAAAAATTATATGAATTTATTGCTAAATATTATTATTATATTAATAAAGTGCTTCTTAATAAAGTTCAAGTGCTTTTAGACTTGCATCATAGATGCAAGTCTAAAAGCACTTGAACTTATTTTTCATGTTTATTTTGTTATTCTCCATGAAAAAATATATTTTTTTGTAAATAATATCCAAGTTATTATTATGCATAAAGTTTAATAAAATATATACCTATTGTTATTAGACCTAGAATTTTACGATGACTTTGAAAATCACCCCAACTATTACTTTCTACTGAATAATTCTTTTTATATCTAAGCCAGATTTCTCTTGAATTTTCTGCTAGTTGTATTGTAATATGTTGAATTCGAGAAATTTTCTTGTATATTTTGCTGAATTTCTTTTTATCGATTTGTGTTCCTATAAAGATTAAAAATAATATAACTAAAATGTAAATTATTAAATTTAATTTTTATTAGTAATTCTTTATTTACCTATTATTATTTATAGTATAAAAAATATAAATTTTATTATGTAAGAAAACTTCAAGTAATCAACTGCTCACCTATTGGTTTCACAATTATAAGTAAACATCGATGATGATCAACTCTCTGATTATAGTCTGGATGACTCATTGTTGAACAAAGAATTATGTTACAAAATCAATAAATAATTTGGTATTATTATCTTCTTAATTAAGAGATTCCTAAAATAATTAAAATGTTAAAGTTGTATAATATGCAAACTTATTAAAAGAAAATATATTCATTACATTTGTTTGAAAATTAAACTTTATATTAAATATTGATATATACTGATTAATATAGCAAAGGAAAATAAACTTTTAACTTTGTTCTTTTTTACATGCTGTTTAGAATTAACCTTGAAAATTTCTCTTTTTAAATACAAAGTTTCAGATTAAAATTTAAGATTATCTTTAAATATTCAATTTTAATTTTACACACATTTAATATTTTAAAAAGGCATTCTTCTTTGACACCCTCTTAATAATATTAAAAATCAAACTCTTCAAATTAAAGGAATTTTAGATGAAAACCAGATAAGAATATTTAATATTAATTAAAATATATATCATTAATTAATTATTTATTTATTTACACTTAAAGACAAAGGATTTCCTTTGTCTTTGAGACAATTACTTGTTAATAATAATATAAAAGAAAAATTATATAATTATTCTGTTATTCTTCTACATATTATTATTTGATATAAATGTAGTAATAAATGTCAAACGATAAAAACTCAAATTTTTCCAAGTTATATTTATAATATGAAAATTATGAGTTTGCTTTAAACCAGGGGTGGCCAACCTTTTCAGAAGGTGGGCCAAATTTCAGAAATAATATTTCCTGCCAGGCCACGCACCTATTTTTATTATTATTATTTTTTTTAATTAAAGTAAACAAGCAAGCGTGCTACAGCTTCAACCACATCGTCACTTTCCAGTAGGTGAGATCGTGGTCAAACACTTGCCTGGTTTAATGTAAAAAAACACAAAAAATAGGTATACAGTATTTATTTTTTTGAAGAAAATAAAACATAACCGAGAATCAAACATATTTATTAGACAATTTAAAAATATTTAAAAGTGTGATATCTGACTTTGTTTTACAGAACTAAGTGCATCAAAATTGATCTCCACTGATGATGTCGCTACACGCAAACAGTTTTCCAAATGAACATCAGTAATTCGATCTCACTTGTGATTTGATGTACTTCATGCGACTAAAAAGCTGTTCACACGCATAAGTGTTTCCACATAGCGAAACCATCGACAGAGCATATTTGTAAAACTCAGGATATTTATCCTTGTCCAAATACGTTTCACAGAACTCTTCCAAACCAACTTGACGAAATTTCTCCAACGTTTCAGGGTTTACTTACTTATAGAATCGATATGGTAGACAGGCTACTTGGTTAAAGTAGTTTGAACTGTAATTATAAAATATGCTAAATATGTATTTTAACGTCGATTGCAAAATCTCTCCAGATGCATTGGCGATAATAAAACGAAACTACAGAATAACACGGAACTTTGTCAAGCTGGACTGAAAGTAGTTATGAGTATGAGCCCGATAGCATTGTGAGCTTCCCGAAAACGCCGAAGACCACAGAACATATATAGCTGAGGTCTCATATTAAATTTTATCAACACCTAGCGTCGGACAAAAAACTAAGTAACCTTGAGTGTCAAATAGCGGGATATTTGAAATACTCGTAGCTAAAAATCTATGAATTTTTCCAAAATAAGAGATATTTCAAATTTCTGTTAGCTATAATTTAAAAATACATAATAGGAATAACTCATGACGTAATGTTCTTTTGGTGATATGTACAATAAAGTTAACATTTACGTTCATTTGCCCTAGCTCCATGGGCCGCAACATGACTCCAGGCGGGCCGCATGCGGCCCGCGGGCCTCGTGTTGGCCACCCCTGCTTTAAACTTTAAAGTAGAAAACTTTGGTTATGGTGATGTAAGCAGCTAGTCTGTGCCAAAAGTTTGCAACCCAATCTGATGTGTTATATAGTTTCATGCATGATATGGCATTTCCTACAAGTTTCAACAGTGAATGTCTTTTAAAATGTTTTTTCTTTAGTTTTTTGTATTTACAACCTAATCTTGTATGTCAGTCATAAATCTTCCATCTCTCCAAAGAGGCATCCCCAAGCAAGCCAGCAATTTGTTGCAGTTCTGTCAACATGATCCTAGCTAAATCACTACTGTGCCTGTAATGGAGCATCTTCTGTACTCAGGATTGCCTGAAGATGTCTGTGTTTTTTATGTACTATGTTAGATCCAGGACTATGTTAGATCCAGGTCAATGGTGTATCATATTCAGTGACAGGATTTAATCTTGGAGAGCCAAATTGAATGGATAAAAAAATTTTAATACGAATTCAATAAAATCCCACCTTATGTGACTGTGAATTTATAAGTAATATAGAAATAGAAGACAACACAACACAAATAAAAACATAAATTTTAATTAGGAAAAGATTTTTAGAACATTTTCTAGGTTTTTGTTTTCCTATTTCTTTGGAGAGTGCCAGGGTGCCTTGACCTCCCTTAGGTACACCACTGATCATGCTGTTTTTATTTGCAAGGGTTACAGCTTTGTGTAATTGTGATATTTTTTGTTTTCTGTAGAAAAACTCTGTCTGTGTTTGTTTGTAATGAAGATTTATAATTTTTTTTTTTTTTTATTTTCTTTACAAATGGAAATGTCATATATGACAAAATATTTCCACTTCCTGATTAACAGTAACCCAGATACATAAAATATAATATATAAAAATACAAATGTAAATAGAAAATAAAGAAAACATTTGAAAATAAAATGATAACAGTAGGACAAAAAATATTAAACACTAAAAATTATAAACATTTACAAATGCATTTAAAATAACTAAATCTTCATATCTGTAAGGTTTTATCCTCCCTCTTTATAAGGAAGAGCCTTTCTAAAGAGGACTTGGGATAGTATTTGTTGTCATAAATATTGTTCATGTTTTCCTTTGGAGTTGTTCTAGTTCTGTGTGTGTTCAATATATAAGTCCAAATAAATACCAGATGACTGGTATAACTGTAAATTTTCCCCATCACTATACAGTCGACCCCCCTATAAGATATAGATACGTTCCAATTTATTAGGAATCCGATTTCTTACAAGTCGTCCCAATCACAGCACGACACGTGTCAAGTTTACAGACTACGGCTGATTGAAAGGTTTTCTTCCATAAAATTAATCGATTCTACACTAATCCGACTCAACATTTCCAAAATACGTATATTTTTTCGTAGTTTTATAGGAATCATAATTATAAGGACCGTAATTATAGGGGGGTCGACTGTACAGCACAATTTGAAAATCTGATGCAAACTCAAAAAGTACAAAGGGTGCTTTATTTATGAAGGTCTTCATTTATGGTTCTGTGCTTGTATTTAAAATTTTATTTTGTTTACTGAAAATAAGATATCAATTTTCTTTTGATTTCAAGATGTCATCTAAAAATGCATGTGCTGTTATCATTAGTGAAATTTTGTGTCATATTTTGTATTTCTTAGTAAAATAGTATACTAAGTAGAACTTTTGTCTCCATATTTTAACCGTGTACCATAGAAACTGAAAAATTTGGCATTTACAATTAACCCATCCCAAAAGCAGAGGAAGGAATAATTGTAAATGACACTTATAAATACAAATTTGACAATATTTATAATGATAGTCAAGAATAGATCTATTTAACTATTAGCATCTGATATAGGCTTTTATTTCAGAATGCTTCATACATATGTAAAAATGGAATCCCTTATAAAAATTTAATATTTTGTCTCTAGTTAAAATCCAATTGGCTTTTATTTTATTTTATCATTTATTCTTTGTTATTTTATCTTGTGAGGTATAGCCTAAAGCCTTTCAGGCAAACTACATGTATATTTCAAGTTTCAAACCTGATTATGATCATTTGAGACAGTTGAAAATGTTAGTTTGTTTATTAATATGTATGATTTGCTGAATTTTTGGTGTTGATATGTTAATTTAAACTTTATATAGTTTTATGAGATGTTTATTGATAATATAATTTATTACATACAGAATTTTACATATTAAATTTCAAAAATATTCATATCATACTTTTTAATTTTTGTTACTAGCAAGATGTTGGAAAATGACATAATATACTGCATTTTATTTGAAAATATTACTTACTAATAATATGTTCTGATTAGAAACTATTAACTACCCGTCATTAACTGATACTGTTGAGATTATCTAATAACTTTTTATACCATGAATGTATTTTTGGATTTAATTAAATTCATGATACATAAACTTTAAATTCATGATGCTAAAATTTTTAATTAATGATGACATTTTTCTTGACTAGTGACTCCACTTCATATCATAAGATACCACCACTAATAAACTTCAAGAAATCAATATTTATTATTTGATAAAACATTTTTCAAGATGATTTACATCTCTTAACAACATTAACCATTTTAATGTAAAATACAAAACAATTCTATGCTTTATCCTCCTCAAAATATCCGATAGCAGTGGTCTTATTTACAATAATGATTGAATGAATTGTTATATAAATATCAATAGAAACTTTCTCCCATATGATTCTGTTGATTTTATAATATTTATTATTAGTGTTGATAAAGACATTTAATTATGTATAGTCTACAGTACTCACCAACTGGTAATATCTAATCATTACAAGCAAGTGGTTGAGTGTATTTATTGAGTCCTGCTAATTATAATTATTATCCTAAATGTTTTTAGATCTAATTTATTATTATTGTGATGTGATACAGTATTTTTCAAAAATATTTGTCATAACAACAAAAGATAGAAAGATTAAAAAAAAATATTCTCAAGAAATATTTATCTAAAAGATGTGTCAATATATCACAATATTTATTTATAGAAAATTAATCTGTTATAATAAAACATACAGTATGATTTATTAATTAATATATATTTTTAATACAATTAACGAAAGTTTAATTTAATGTGAACTGGATTAAAAATAATTTAAATTTGTGAAATAAACAGAGTTTTGACACATTTTAATACAGGTATACCTTGACTTACGTCGATTCGAGTTACGTCGTTCTTGATTATACGTCATTTGTCAAAAAAGTATATGGAAAAATAAAAATCAAGTTTAA